TAAAACTTCCAAACTATGTACAGTGGTACCTCAGGTTACATACGCTTCAGGTTACAGACTCTGCTAACCCAGAAATAGTGCTTCAGGTTAAGAACTTTGCTTCAGGATGAGAATAGAAATTGTGCTCCGGTGGTGCGGGGGCAGCAGGAGGCCCCATTAGCTAAAGTGGTGCTTTAGGTTAAGAACAGTTTCAGGTTCAGAACGGACCTCCAGAACGAATTAAGTACTTAACCCGAGGTACCACTGTAATGGAAATTAGACAGTGTGTGAGTCTACCCTGTGGGAAGTCAAGCTAGCCTTATTCCCAGCAACTTTCTCCCCTGCCACACCCTTAAGGCGAGTTCTCACCACCTCTTTTCTGCACAACACCTGCTTAAGTGACCAAAAGTCGATAAAAGCAATCAACCTCATTATTCAGTGCCCGCTGCTCACTGCTCTAAGGTTGTCATGCAGTATAGACCAGGCAAAGAAAATCTCCTTCTGCCAGCCATTCACAGAAGAAGACAAAAATTCCTAGTCAATCGTAGCTGATATCACCCAGCCAATATCACTCTGAATACAGGGGAGGAAGGACTGGGCGCCCCCTCAGCATTGTGGAAAAGGGAGAGAAGGAGAAGGCAGGAAAACCTTTTAGATCTTCCACCCTCTCCTCTGTGCTGGTAATTGCCAGTATGCCCCATTTCCCTCCCCTCTGCAAACACACTCCCACCTGGGCTCCTTTTAGAGCCAGGTGGAAGAGAACAATATTGGTGTGTGGTTGGAGTACAGTGGTACCTCGCACCGCCGGAGCACAATTTCTGTTCTCATCCTGAAACAAAGTTCTTAACCCGAGGTACTATTTCTGGGTTAGCGGAGTCTGTAACCTGAAGCGTCTGTAACCTGAAGCATCCGTAACCCGAGGTACCACTGTATTGTGAGACAAGGCTACAATGGCCCACTCATTCATCCCCTATTTTGGGCGACTAGCGTCCCAAAAGAATGGTGGTAGGCACTGGCCTGTTCTCCAGCTACTTGGCTCCGATGAATTCTGCAGGTAGGTAAGAGCAGTTGTCACTTGTTTGTAGCACATCACTAGTTGGGTGCACTCACAGGCCAGCACGCTTCCAATACATCACAACATCCTTCTGTCCATCCCACTCAACTGGCAGTAGTTCTCTAATGCCTCAGGCAAGAGTCCCCCCCCCCCAAGATCTACCTGAAATCCTTTTAAATGGAGAAGTGAGAGATTTGATTTCTCTTTCCCCACCCCCTTCTGATTGTGTTCTTCTGCTGAGCTGAGGCCCCCAAGCATGGTGGAATAATCGCTCTAATGCTAAACAAGAGTTCGATCTCTGGCATTGAATGTGTTGGCCTGGTGTGGGGCACCAAGGAGAGCTTGGCTGTCTGGCTGGTGTACCGACCACCTAGCGCACCAGCAGCCACCCTGTTAGGCCTGTTGGATGACGTGGCAGGCTGGGCCTTGGAGTTCCCTACTGGTTTTGGGGGACTTCACCGTCCATGCTGATGCCACCCCCCCTCCTCACGGGCTCTGGACCTGGTGTCTTCCATGGTGACATGGCGACATGAGTTTGTTTTGGGTCCCACACACCAAGCAGGCCACACGCTGGATTTGATTTTTGGTGCGGGTAGAGTTTTGATCATGTCCTCACTTGTGGAAGTGCCATGGTCTGATCACTATGCTCTGAAAGCCAGGACTGACTTCCCGCCCCCACCCCGCTTGGGTGATGAGCCTATTTGCACTGACTATATAAAGTATAGAGTCTATCCCATGACTGCGAGCAGGTGAGAAACGAGCAGAATTAGTTCCCTCCACTTGGAGATAGCAAAACAACTGATCCTAGGCCCTGTTATTCTTTTTCTCTACTTAGGAGGCGGCCAACAGCATCTGAATGCCTTCAGTCTCCATGGCTGCAAGAAACAGGTTTGGATGAGAGGCAACAAGCAACAGTTACTTTCTCCACCACTAAACTGAGGAACTTTCTAGCTGAGCGGGAAAGAAAAAGGGCTCTACTCTGTTCCAAGTATGGCGTGATGACCGTGTAGTGAAACACTTTCAGAGAGAATCACTCTCAGACTTCCATCTCCACATGATCCTACTCATACCTAGGAATGTTTTATTATAATTTCTGGTTTCTGGACTGAAAAGGAATGGTCACAAGTAGGTGTGAGTCAAAGGATTGCTGCTCACCTGCATATTTATGTATCCACAGTAATCATAATCTGTATTTTCATGAATGGATACCAAGTCGCGGGTCATGCATATCTCTCATTTATCCTGCAGTATTGTTTATCTGAATATGTCATTATGGAGTGGAACAATTGTGGTGGGAGGCAATAATAATGGGTTAGATGAAACATTATGGGAAATTTCCTGTCTCTCCAGAACAGTTCAGTGTTGGAATCTATGACTAACTTCTGGAATCTCCTCCTTTGGTGATTGTGTACTTGTCAGTTTTTGATGCTCCAATCTGAAAATGTAAGAAAGGCCTTGAAAAATGTTTTCCAAGGTAACTCGTGGGTTCCTAGGAACACAATTTTATAAACTCTCTGAGCTAAGCAGAACACTGGTGCTCAGCAGCTAAAGAAGAAGAAGAGAATGTCGCAAAACATACAATTGATTTGTCAACAGGAGTCTGTAAAATACAAGCAAGCTGTGATCCTTCGATGCAACCAAGAACGCCCTTTGGGGCTTGGAGTAATGTTGGCCAGAATGACTGTCTAGCTAAGAAACTTGTTTTGACAGTTCAGGGAATGGATTTCTTGTTGAATATTATTATAATCTAAGCTGTAATCAAATCCCCCTCCCATTTTGCTGTGGAAGCCTGACTTGATTCTGTGCTGCTTCAAACGTCATTCAAAACCTGTTGTTTTCAACTGATTGGGTTGTCAGTCTTTGTGGCCTTTATAGTACTTTGTATAGCCCTCTAGGTGGCGCTGTGGGTTAAACCACAGAAGCCTAGGGCTTGCCGATCAGAAGGTCGGTGGTTCGAATCCCCGCGACGGGGTGAGCTCCCGTTGCTCGGTCCCTGCTCCTGCCAACCTAGCAGTTTGAAAGCACGTCAAAAGTGCAAGTAGATATCTGGCGGGAAGATAAATGGCATTTCCGTGTGCTGCTCTGGTTTTCCAGAAGCGGCTTAGTCATGCTGGCCACATGACCCGGAAGCTATATGCCAGCTCCCTCAGCCACTAAAGCGAGATGAACGCCGCAACCCCGGAGTCGGCCATGACTGGACCTAATGGTCAGGGGTCCCTTTACCTATAGCTCTCTGTTACAAGCTATCTGTGGTCTATTTCAGAGAAACACTCTTTCAGTAAAGCAGAGCGTTCCAAACATTTCATGTTGTTGACACTTTTCAGACAAGCATCATTTCGCGACACAGTTTTACTAGCAAACTGGAGGTTAAACTAACCCCTTTCCAGCCCTGGGAGGAACGCTGGAAGTCTTCATGCGACACACCTACACACTGCAGCTGACACACTAACGTGTTGCAACACACAGTTTGGAAAGCTCTGCAGTAAAGGAACCCCTAGCTCGTTCTCTGTGGTTAATTAACTTCGGATTTGGTGAGAGTGTAGTTAGTCCCTGAATGATAACCTAGCAGAACAAATATGGTGATCGTGACCAGATATGTGAGAGACATGTGCTAGCCTGCGGGAATAATGGACCCTATCACTGAAACACAGGAGTTAATCTGCTGTGGGTACAATATAATAAGATATGTTAATGCAGATCACCTTGTACTTTTCTAGGGATGCCCAGCAGGTCCGCAGAAGTAATTCTAGCACTCTATCGGCTATGAATCATTGCTTGATGATCCCATTAATTATAAGCAGCTGGAGATTCAAAGATATCATTTTCGCATGCAAAGAGTTTTGTCCATATGTGAGAATATTTCATAGTCTTATCTGCGAGTGTATTTGAGGTCTTTTAGCGTAGCACAAGTAGTGGGCTGCATGCAGCCTAGCAGTCCAGGATGACTTCCAAGCAAAGACATAAGTTTCTGTTATCTGGCTAAGTTATTCCTTGTTTGGCACAATTGTAATCTCAGTTGCCATCAATATATTCCCCCTTTTTGCTGTGCTAGCTAGACTTGATGTGGTATTTCAACCAAATTTATGCACTGCCTTGGAAACCTGTTGTTTTCAGCCCGTTTGATTGGCAATCTATATGCCTTATATTGTTGAAATTTTTGAATATGCCACTGGAACAAAGAAGCTGAATTATTTCTGACCTTTTGATTCCGCACACACATTCAAGAGGCCAAACCTAACTGTCCAGGGCTTTCCCAAGGCTGTAAAAATGCGACTGGTTGTGAACCAGGCTGATTCTTAAACAGTTGTGAGCTGTTAAGTACTAGCATAAATCCATGGACTCGGGTGAAAGAACTAGGCCTTAAGATAACAAACTAAGAACTTTTCTTGAGCAAGCCACTCTGCCTTAATTTCTTTAGAGGAACTTGAATCAAGCCAGCAGGAACAGACCACTGAGCTTTAAATTCTGAAGTGTTAGTGCAGAGAGCCTGAATGTTGAGAATTCACGAAGAAAATTATTTCTGCTGTCAGAAGTTTTCTTCTGTAAAATAACCTACATGCAAGGTGAGCTGACTTAAGAGTTCACAGGGAGGAAAGGTCTTGGCTTGCGAGCTGGATCCTTTTTTGAAGTTGTCATGGTTTTAATCGGTTTGAAGTTTTAGTTGATCTGTGGAGGTAAACATCATTTGAGGAGGAAGGTATTTTAATGTAAGGTTTGTATTTTAACTCTACTAGCAACATCTGGACTAACAGCATATTTTCTTATGTATATGATGTGAATGAAGTGACCTACCTTTTTTCCTATTTGCATGTATTTTGAGCACAACTAAAGATATTTATGAATATTGAGCTGCTTTGTTAAATAAATTATTTTAATAAAGATTTTATGCCAGAGTTGTTGGTGCTGACTATGTTATGATAGACTGAAAGGGTTGCTTAGGATGAAAATTAATGCACACAGTTGAAATAACCAGTTAGCAATTCACTTTGCACGACACAGCTCCTTTTATTACATGTCTAAGCAACCTGCCCAACACAGTTGCTTTAACTTTATCTTTATTGTTTCCTCATATCCCATTCATTTCCCGTAAGTATTTCTTTTCAGTTTTAAAGGTTTTACATTCGTGTAGAAACAAAGGTACAGACAAACAAAATAACAGCAATCAAAATTACAAAACATAGGAGCAGCACAGAGGTGGTATTTTCCATACAAGTTGAGAGCAGATGCATGTGGTTAAAAGCAATTAAAAGCATGCATTCTTAATTACGCTTAAGCCTTTACACCTAAGAGTACTCATGACATCAATGGATATTCAAGGTACTCAAAATATTGGAGCCAGAATCACAGCTTGTCCCAGGGACATTGTCTTGCACAACAATAAATAAAAGAGATAAAGTTGATTGCAGGTGCAAAGATGAATGTTGACACATACCTGGAACTCTTGCACCTTGCAAATAATGAGGCAAAGTCCTGTACATGTTATGAAAGGTACATAGTGTACAAAATAGCTTGTGACCTTATTTGGTGCAGGCCCATTCCGCTTGCTAATGACAACTGCAGAGTGAATCTACTGGGAAATGAGTTGCTTGGGATGACAGCAGTTTCTTCTATATTCCTATCTTAGGGCTCATCCAGACTTCCTTTTGTGCCGCGTTTCTAGGCTCAGTTCTGCACTCTAAAGCACCGTGTCTGAGCGTTTCTCTCTCTCTTTTTCTTCCCCCCCACCCCATGCTTTCCCCACAAAAAACTGCTCTTTGCTGCTCTTTGCCCTGGAGCAAAGGGCAATTCAATTCAGTTCAAGCCTTTCTGAGGGAAAAGGCTGACATTGCGTAGTACCATTAAATGGGAAGAAGAAGAACAGTTTAGGACCTAAATGTTTGTGTGGCGGGAGGGAGCAGTAAAAGTTTGTGGGCCTTTTTGCTTGTATGATGGGTCTTTTGGGTGAAATCTCCTGTAGCTGTGTGCTTACTAGGCAGGATGTGTGCTGTGCACTGGGTAAGAAAAAGTGTCCGGGTGAAGCTTTTGAATTCTAAAGTTAGGACATCCCATGGGGTGCCCAGTTCTACACACACACACACACACCCCTCTCACTTCAGATTGGGGGTAGAGACAGAGGGCTTATCCACACTTTGTCTTGTCCTGCTGCTTTCCCTGGGGAAAGCCACTCTTTAGTGCTCAATTGGAGCAAACGGCAATTGGGTTTTCTGCAGATTGACGTTTGTTCTGATTTACAGCCAAGGAGTGGGTTTTCCCTGGGAAATAAGTGGAACAATGGGGAAACGATTCAGACCCATGCTTTCTAGGCATGGGACAAATGGAATTGTGTACAAGCCCAAAGACAATGAGATACACCTGGCTTGCCAAAGGCCACCTAGTGAGTTCATAGCTGAGATGAGATTCTAACTGGGGTCCTCAGCTTTCAGCGCTAAGGATTAAAAGTCCTTAACCGGAAGAAGGAGTTGCAGATGAAAGTATCTTAGTGTGAGAATGATCAAGCACCCCACCGCCACCCGATACTGCTTTTCTGCTAACCCTTAACTCCACTGCAGGCCTGAGCTTGGTGCCTTTGATAGATAAATGTTAGCACAGAATATTAGCTTACATGCTATCAATTCCACCACACTTTAAAAAGTTATAAGGCCCACAGTTTCCACTTCTAGGATAAAATGACTTGTTAAATGATAATGGCTTCTACCAAACATTCTATGCAAGCGCTACATTCTCCCACGAGCTTTTACCCACATACAGAAACATACATTTTATCTCTTTTTAAACTTATTTTGGCCTGAAGATTCACAGGCACGTGATACCAGGTTGCTTCCTCTGCCTCCTACCTTCAGTGGCGAAGTCGGTACCTGAACTGAACATCACGTGTGGGCTGCATCACACCAAACCCATAGCGGTTCTTGATTACGGGAGGGATTTCCTCCTCCACGTTAACCAGCTGCATGTCAAAGTATGTCAGCATCAGGAAGGCAAAGAGTTTCACCTCATTGGTAGCAAAGTATCGCCCAGGGCACATGGAAGTCCCTGCACCCCATGGCATGGTGAAATATTTCACTTTTTCTCCATTCTTGTAGAATTCTTTTTTCCTGCCGTCTAGGCTGAGGAACCGGTCATATTTGAAAACATGTGGATCTGGGTGGATTTCTGGATCCATATGTGCTGCCACAAAGGGGAAAAGGGCAACTCTGTCTCCTTTGCGCAGAAGGTATTTTCTCCCATCGTTCATCTTGAGTTCTAGATCCACTAACACAGCCCTGATCAGCATAGGGGCTGCTGCCAGTCTCAGAGTCTCTTCCACAGCACTGTCCAAGATGGGCGTCTTGTCTAACATCTCCTTGGTGACATTAAGCACTGAACCCCCTGCCCTCACTTCCTGGCCAGATTCTCCCACCACTCTGTCCACCTCTTTCCTCACCTCATCCATCGCCTTGGGATTTTTCATCAGGTAGGCAAGAAGCCAGAAGGAAGCTGGTCCAGTATTCCCTTGAGCCGCCCACAGGAGCAGAAACAGGAATCTATCCCTCATGTATTCAGGCATCCCAGCCTCAGCCAGTTGCTCTTGCTGGTCTGTTATCCAACCACTGATGTTGCTCCTCTCATATACATCCTTCACAGACATGAGTTTCCAGAATAGTCTCTTCAGAGACTCAGCCTCTTTTCTCTCTCCATGAGACAGTGTGGAAGAAGCAAAACCTGGGAAGAGTTTATCATACTTGCGAAACTCTACAAACACATCTTCAGAGTGAGTTACGTCACACCTCTCAGCATCTTCTTTGTTCTTTTCGCCTTTGCTGGTTGTATTTCCAAACAGGGCTAGGTATCCAGCCCTAAAGACCATGTTGTAGCTGAAGTGGAACAACCCATCCTGTTTCCAGGACTTCTCCCCTCCAGCTGAACTCAGGCTATGGCCCATCACTCTGTGCAAGCTGTCCATCATGGCCTGGGTCATCACCACGAGCCCATTGCCCTTAAGGTGCTTCACGCTGGCGGTCTCTATTATCTTATGAGTGCTCATTTCTGGTTGAAAACCAAACACTTGGGCCACAAGTTGTGTTGCATATGCGTTGAAATCCAGCTTGCTTCTTGCTTCTTTCACAATAGCTCCATAGGAGAGGGGGTCCATCACAAAAGTGAAATAGTATCCTCCAAATAGTACCGTGAAGATATTCCCATGCTTCTTCTGCATCCTTTGCAAGAAGGCAACGCCGTCCTTTCGGTAGCTCAGTGCATGTCCAAGCCACGGAATGAGGCCTTTATCTAAAGGGGGCTCTTGGGCTCTCCTCTGGCGGAACGCCCCCACCAGATAGAGCCCCCCCAATATGCATGCCAGGACGGCACATAGGACCATCACCCAGAAAGCCATCTCTCGGAGCTCTGTTGCACAAAGGCACAAGTCAGCTCTTGCAGAAAAAACAAGTGGTTATAAAAAGTTGCTTCACATACCATTAATCTAGGTGGAGCCAGGAAGCAGAGCAAGCAAAGGTTAACCCTTGCTACGGTTAATTTATTTGCACTAAAATAATATCTGAACTAGAGCTTGTAAGAGTCGGAAGTGTTTTTAATTCCAGTTGTGGTTTATGTTTTTTGAATGTAGATTGAAAGTACACAGCTTTTAAATATTTCTTTGTTTTTAATCAATAGAAATGCAGATTTAACTCTGTAATAGAGGGATCTGACTTTGGAAGAAAAGGGGAAGCAACAAGGGGAGGAGGGGGAAATGTGGATGACTTTGCAGGATGGAATCAAACATAAGGTAAGACGTTCACGGCAAAGGGAGATCTGGAAGTGACTGGTGGTGCTGTAAATAAAGGAGGGGGAAGCTAAGTTACCGTATTTTTCGCTCTATAAGACACACTTTTCACCTCCTGAAAAGAAAGAGGAATTGTGTGTACATCTTATGGAGCGAATGAAGGTGGGAGGCTGCTCAGCTCTCCCTTTAAAGAGCCGCACACATGCTCTGCGCACTCTTTAAAGGGAGCGTGGCTCTTGAGGGAGCCTTCATCCCACTGCCTGGGAGCGGCTGCACTCGGCTATCCCATAAGCCAGAACAACAAGAGGATTTCCCAGAAGCCAGATCCCTCTTGCTGTTCTGGCTTCTGGGGTTCAGAATATTTTTTTCTTGTTTTCCTCCTCCAAAAACTAGGTTCGTCTTATGGTCTGGTGCATCTTATAGAGCGAAAAAATGGTACTTAATTTGGAGGTCCTGAAGCTATATGTACACAGAAACAGCCATCCTTGGGAACTCACATTTTTCCAAAGTTTGCAATGCAGGTTTTCTGGCAGCTAATGTGTAGAAAAAAAATGTGTACACTGGGGTAGTGCGCATAAAAATGCATATATTCACAAAAGTAACATACAAAAATGTGGTATGGTAGGGTGTCAGACTAGGATCTGGGAAACCAAGGTTCTAGTCTCCATTCAACAACATGACATGGAGGAGAGATAACTACATATATATGCCACTATGAGCTCCTGGGAGGAGAGGTGGCATCTAAATGTAAGAATGAGGGAGGGAGGGAGGGAGGGAGGGAGGGAGGGAGTGATACCAGGAGGAAAGTACTAGTCCAGGGGTAGGCAACCTAAGGCCCAGGGGCCAGATGTGGCCCAATAGTCTTCTCAATCCGGCCTGCGGATGGTCCAGGAATCAGCGTGTTTTCACATGAGTAGAATGTGTCCTTTTATTTAAAATGCATTTCTGGGTTATTTGTTGGGCCTGCCTGGTGTTTTGACATGAGCAGAATGTGAGCTTTTATTTAAAATGCATCTCTGGGTTATTTCTGGGGCATAGGAATTTGTTCATTCCCCCCCCCAAAAAAAATATAATAATAGTCTGGCCCACCACATGGTCTGAGGGACAGTGGACTGGCCCATGGCTGAAAAAGGTTGCTGACCCCTGTACTAGGGAGAATTTCTGCCATCAATTCTACCATGAATAAAATGGTTGTGCGCTGCTGCGCTGGTTCAGGGAAATGTAATAGGTAGCAACAGAAGGGTTGAAGCACTAATAGTTACCTGTTTGGCGTGGGGGTGGGAACAGGGACACATGAGCTTAAGTAAGCACTATACCTCTAAACCAAGGGACGTGGGTGGCGCTGTGGGTTAAACCACAGAGCCTAGGAGTTGTCGATCAGAAGGTCAGCGGTTCAAATCCCCGCGACGGGGTGAACTCCCGTTGCTCAGTCCCTGCTCCTGCCAACCTAGCAGTTCAAAAGCACGTCAAAGTGCAAGTAGGTAAATAGGTACCACTCCAGCGAAAAGGTAAATGGCGTTTCCGTGCACTGCTCTGGTTCGCCAGAGGTGGCTTAGTCATGCTGGCCACATGACCCGGAAGCTGTACGCCGGCTCCCTTGGCCAATAAAGCGAGATGAGCGCCGCAACCACAGAGTCGGCCACGATTGGACCTAATGGTCAGGGGTCCCTTTACCTTTACCTTACTGCTGGTTAGCAAGCTTTTGAAGAAAAGAAAAAACTTGTATAAAACTTGATTTAGTTTCTGAAGTGACTGCAAACTTTCGTAATCTGAAATTGTTTTTCAATTATTCCCCAAACAGCTTTCCTTCGATTGACCCGGAAGCTGTACACTGGCTCCCTTGGCCAATAAAGCAAGATGAGCACAGCAACCCCAGATTCATCCATGACTGGAAACATAGAGTATGGAAACGCTGTTTACCTTCCCTCTGGAGTGGTACCTATTTATCTACTTGCACAGGGACCGAGCAACGGGAGCTCACCCCGTCGCAGAGATTCAAACCGCTGGACAAGATGGAATGTTTTAAGAGGTGGCAGAAAGATATCTCGAAATTTGTCTGGCAGGGCAAAAAGCCCAGAATCAAATTTAAAATATTGACAGATGCTAAAGAAAGAGGGGGTTTTGCCCTGCCGGACTTAAAATTGTACTATGAGGCAGCAGCGTTTTGCTGGCTGAAGGAATGGATGCTCCTCGAGAACACAGACATCTTGGATCTGGAAGGTTTTAATAATGTTTTTGGTTGGCATGCATATCTATGGTATGACAAAATTAAGCAGCATAGTGCCTTTAAAAATCACATTGTTAGAAAAGCATTGTTTAATGTATGGATGAGATATAAAGATCTGTTGGAAAACAAAACCCCTAGATGGGTGTCACCAGTCGAGGCTAAAGCAGTAAAGAAACTCAATATGGAGGTCGGATGGCCGAAGTATTGGGAAATTTTGGAACAGGATGGAGATAAGTGGAAATTACAAAGCTATGACAAATTGAAACATAAAGTACAAAACTGGCTTCAATATTATCAAATAATGGAGCTTTTCAAACAGGACAGGAAAATTGGCTTTCAGGTGGAAAAATCAAAACTAGAGATTGAACTGCTAGAACCCAATACTAAGAATTTATCAAGAATGTATAACTTGTTGTTGAAATGGAATACACAGGATGAAACGGTGAAATCAGCTATGATTAAATGGGCACAAGATATTGGTCATGACATTATGTTTGCTGACTGGGAACAGTTATGGACCACCGGTGTTAAGTTTACGGCATGTAATGCCTTAAGAGAAAACATAATGAAAATGATTTACAGGTGGTACATGACCCCAGCCAAGCTTGCAAAAATTTACCATTTGCCTGATAACAAATGTTGGAAATGTAAAGAGACTGAAGGTACCTTCTATCATCTTTGGTGGACATGCCCGAAGATTAAGGCTTTCTGGGAAATGATCTATAATGAAATGAAAAAGGTACTTAAAAGTACCTTCTCTAAAAAACCAGAGGCCTTTCTCTTGGGCATTGTCGGCCAATTGGTGCCAAAGAGGGATAGAACTTTTTTTATGTACGCTACAACAGCAGCAAGAATACTTATCGCAAAGTATTGGAAGACACAAGATTTACCCACTCTGGAAGAATGGCAGATGAAAATGATGGACTATATGTCATTGGCTGAGATGACAGGCAGAATACGTGACCAAGGAAAAGAGACGGCGGAAGAAGAATGGAGAAAATTTAAAAGTTATCTTAAGGACTATTATAAACTTGATGAATGTTAGAATGTTATGGTTTTCAGAAACAAAGGGATACAGTGATATAAGGTCAGATTATAGAGATAACTAAGGACAGAGGTTGGAAAGTAATATTGGGAGTTGCTATAAAACTATGGACATTGGGATGCAGAAAGGGGGGGTATGGGGGAGTCTGAGAAAAGAGGGTTATGAGAAACAATATGAAATTATGCGTGTTTGTATGTTTTTTGTTTTTTTCTTTTTTTTAAGTGTTTGTTTGTCTTTAAAACTTTGTAAAACCAATAAATTTTTTTTTTTTAAAAAAAAAGAGATTCAAACCGCTGACCTTCTGATCGGCAAGTCCTAGGCTGGTTTAACCCACAGTGCCACCCGCATCCCTTATACCTTCCTGCAGTTGACTTCATTAAGTCAGTTCAACTTTATTGTCGTTGACATGCCCTGCTAATAAAAACTATTCCTTGCAACAGGAGTGTTAAGCAATCGAAGGAAAGCTGGGGAATAATTGAAAAACAATTTCAGATTACGAAAGTTTGCAGTCACTTCAGAAACTAAATCAATCAAACCTAATCTAATTAAACTGCACACTCAGTACCCAGTGGCATAGCGTGGGTTGTCAGCACCTGGGGCAAGGCAAGTAATTTGCGTCCCCTAACCCGTGGATTTGCACCCCCTAACCCGTGGATTTGTGCCCCCTAACCCGTGGATTTGCCTAACCCCCCGATGTTGCGCCCGGTGCGGCTGGCCCCCCCTGCACCCCCCACGCTACGCCACTGTCAGTACCATTAAAGTAAAACCAAAAGGCATTGGGAGCTGTTCCAATTGGCACTAGTTTCGTGGCTCGTTCTGCCCCTGTGGGAGGCAAGGGATAGAGACAGCCAAATATTTATTTCAAAGAGACATGATAGAACCAGCGCTGCTCATGCTTTGTGTTCTGCAATCATCTCCACTGATTGTACAAGTTTTTGCTTTTCTTCAAAAGCTTGCTAACCAGCAGTAAGGTAAAGGTAAAGGGACCCCTGACCATTAGGTCCAGTCGTGGCCGACTCTGGGGTTGTGGCGCTCATCTCGCTTTATTGGCCAAGGGAGCCAGTGTACAGCTTCCGGGTCATGTGGCCAGCATGACTAAGCCGCTTCTGGCGAACCAGAGCAGTGCACGGAAACGCCATTTACCTTTCCGCCGGAGTGGTACCTATTTACCTACTTGCACTTTGACGTGCTTTCGAACTACTAGGTGGGCAGGAGCTGGGACCGAGCAACGGGAGCTCACCCTGTTGCGGGGATTTGAACCGCCAACCTTCTGATCAGCAAGTCCTAGGCTCTGTGGTTTAACCCACAGCGCCACCCGCATCCCAGCTAACCAGCAGTAGCTGAGAGCAACGATGGCTCTATTATGCAGTC